CCTGCTGACACTGGAACCACCAGGGCCCCTGCCCTTGGTGTCAGGCCGCTCAGCCTCTTCTAGCTTGGCGTCACTGTCCCGCTACCTCTACCATCAGCGCTGGCTCTGGAGTGTCCCATCAGGACTGGCCCCCGCACTGCCTCTCAGCGCCATCGCTCAGCTTCTCTCCATCCTCACTGAGTATGTCACCAAGCCCACCAGGCCTCTTGTGACAGGGAGAGAGCAGTGTAGACTCTGGGTTTGGACACTGGCAGAAAGCCTAAACCAGACACCTTCCCCCCTGCAAGCACCAGGCTTGGGTCTAGGGCAGCACATGCCACGGCCCTTCCCACTACGTATTTTGGTCTCTGGTTCCAGTGGGACCTGTTACAGCCCGAACAACCAATTGTTTGAGCAGGGCATCAGCAGACTAGGCTACCTTGATGGCTACTGGGAGCTGGGTGTGTAAGGCGGGGCTTGATGGCTACGGGGAGGTGGGTGTGTAAGGCGGTGGGGCGGTCACATTACAGTCTGGTGTCTCTTCTCTATTTGAACCTGGCCCGCCCTCTATCTTTATGGGGCCTCAGAGTCCGACTCTCTGAAGGGTTCCACTTCGCCTGCAGTGGAGAAGGAATCATCAACATGGTCCTGGAGCTTCCTGTTCAGGTGTGTGCCGTCCCTCAGGGTGCCTTCCCTCTGAGGCCCATCATAATCCCTCTGGGCTGGGTTGAGACTGCTGTGAACCCTGCCTCTCAGGGACCATGTGGGCAGTCATAGGGTGACGTGATGAGGTCCTGGGATGGGTCGAGGTTCGAAGGCCAGAGTGAGGTAGGTCCAGATCTCTGCATTTGCCCAGGATGTCTCATTTCACCCACAGAATGAGCCACCAGGGCAGGCTACAGCTGAAGAGAAGCACACATGTGTTGTCCAGTACATTCTCTTCCCCCCACACTCCACCTCCACCAAAGACAGGTGAGACCGGACCCCTCTGAGAGCCACCTCTCTACAGAATTCCCTCTTTTCCTGCTAGCCCCATAGCCTGGTCCATCCCTGAGATGATCATTTCAGAGTTGAGGTAGAGGGTGCTGGGTTTTGTTTTGTTTTGTTTTGCCTTAGGGCACGTGTGCTCTCCAGAGAGACAGAAAGCAAGAAATCACCCCCCAAGTGGGATGGCCATGCAATCCCTTTTCCTCCATCCTCCTCTTGGGATTTTGGGCACACATGCACATGCGCCTGGTGTGAATTCTAAGGCGCCGAGTCCGAGACCAGAACCACAATGATTACATGCAAGTCCAGCCACGTAACCACTACGCAGTCTGCAGGTCCCCAGGGTGCTGTTTTAGATGCACCACGAGGTGGACACTAGTTGGAAAGGCCATGTGTCACTTGTGGCTGCCCTCCGTGCCTATCTCCTTCCTGTCCCCTAGGTGCATGTCCTGCTGCAACGTTGTGCCGTGGACTCTCTCCCCTACCTCAGAGTGTTTCCTCTTTCAGCTTCTCAACAGACGATGACAACGATGTGGAGGTTGAGGCCCTGGATGGAGACTCGGAGCTCAATCTGGTCACCGAGGTGTGGGTGGAGCCACAGTATGGGCGAGTAGGACCTGGTCCTGAAAGTTGGAAGCACCTCCAGGATTTGACGTACTCTGAGATCCCTCAAGCTGTGAGTGACCTCAGAACAGTGTCCCAACCTCTTCCCAGGTTGGGGTGCCAGCTCTTTTGGAGTACCACAGCTGGGGTCTTCCTGGTCCTTCAGATCCTGCATTCTGAATGTCTGACTGACTGGGCCTCCTTGAGAACTGGGGTATCCTGGGCCAGAGGTGGGGGTCGCCTCCTGACCACTGACATTTCTCACCTAGCTCCACCCACGGGATGCTGCCTGCATTGGCTCCATGTTGAGCTTTGAGTACCTGATACAGCTGTGCCAGAGCAAGGAGTGGGGTCCTCTGCCCCCAGAGCCAAGGGTCTCTGATGGTCAGTGGGGAAGGTTGCCCAGTGGGTGGAGCAGGGAAATGAGCAGGGAGAAGGCAGCCTCTACAGGTGATCCTGGTCTCACCGTGTGTCCTGTCTTCCTTCCCACTGTCCTAGGCTTGGACCAGGGAGGAGATAGCTGTGTCCATGAGATCCCTTTCCACTTTGACCTAATGGGATTGCTGCCACAGTGCCAGCAGCTCCAGATGTTCTTGCTTCTGCTTTCCAGAGGTGGGTGAACTTCATACCTACTCACCCCATCCCCAGAGGGCCAGCAAGCCTGGGAGTCTTAGTGGCTGGAGAGCAGAGAATGATGGGGGCAGGAAGAGGCTGTGAGGCTGACGCAGGGGCATTGCTGGGTAGGGCTGAACCGGGCACTGGGCAGCAGGAGGCTCTCAGTGCTGAGCAGAGTGTGTGTCGGGCAGAGCCAGAGGGTGTCCCTCTCGCCGAGGGGCCCTGTCCCGCCAACGACCTGGTGCTGTGCCTGCTGCACAGCTGCCTGGGGCAGGAACTGAGTGACCGGGAGATCCCGCTGACCCCCGCTGACCAGGCTGCCTTCTTGAGCGAGGTGCTGCGGCGGACCTGCCGGGGTCCAGGTGAGCACCCCACTTTTCTCTGAATGCCTTCTTCCCTACTCAAGAGCATCTTGTGTCTCTGAGTTGGAGCCTTCCCCTGCCTCCACCTCTTTTTGACTCAGAGACCCATCTCTCTGCTGGCCCTGCCTTCTGTCTCCATCACCATTGTAGGTGCAGAGGGGCCACTGTCAGGGAGCCATGGGACCCTGAGGGATCAAGCAGTTGGCAACGCCCAGGCCACTGGAGACTCAGCTCTTATTACTGGGGTCAGCACTGATTCCTCTCCCCGAGCCCTTCCCTACCTCCTTTTATCACTGCATATTCGTCCTCGAGCTCCCTGTCCCCCTTGATCCTAAATGCCTCTGCTAGTGACAGAGCACTGTCGTTTTCCTTTGTCCTGGACCTGGTAGGCTGTACCTAAGATGAGTCAGCTCTCAGGTGGAGGAAGGACCATGCGTCAAACATCCCCGTTATTGCTCTGATTTCTGTTTCTCTCTTACAGAGCTTAGGTCTTCCTGGAACCCTGCAGCCTCTCATCTCTGCCCAGACCCCTCAGTGGCGCTGCTATGCAAGGCTTGTGACCCCCCAGCATGTGTTCTTGACTTTTCTCCCAGCTACCTTCTCAGGTACCAACTGCTGACCTGCCTCACTAAGATCAAAGCCCCTAACTCCCTCACCAGTTCGCTAGGCAGCTCTGATCTGGGTCTCTCTTCCTCTTCAGACGTCCAGCGTCTGGCCGCCTATGGCCTGGAAGGACCCTCTCAGGAGGAGACAAAGCCTAAGTCTGGAGATTGGAGTGGGGGCTCCAGCTTGAAAGATCTAGGAGGAAGTGGGGTCAAGGCTACGAAGCCCCAAGTCCCCATCCTCAGTGTAACTCCAGCTGGTGGTAAGACTGCTAACTCTCAGTTAAGCAAGAATGGCAATGGGAAACAAATAGAGCAAAGACATGTGACATGTTTCCCCACAGACAACGTCCAGAGTCAAGGAGAGCTGAGCCCACCCTTCCGTCGGGACTTACAGGCTTATGCTGGGCGTCAGGCTCCCCCGACAGAGGGGACAGACGGACCCCGAACCCGGTGTCCTGTCTACATCCATAGCTGTTCTCTAGAAGCATTGAAGGAGCAAATGATTGGCCTGCAACCCCCCCAGGTGCCCCGAGACCTCATCTTCAGGTGGGTGCCTTCAGTGTTGACCTGTCCTCCCCTGACCATGGCCTCCAGCCAGAGCTTGGGTACTCACAAGTGGGCATACATAGGTAGGCTGAGGTCGGTGGCAGGAGCTTGGCTTCCCAGCCACGTGCTGCCAGCCCCTTGGCTGGCTTCCCTCAGCAAATCAGTTGAACTTTCTGGGCTATAAATACATCTACTAAGAGTCTGTGGGTGACCCTTTGGTGTGTGGGTGGCTGATAAGGCTGAGGCATCACTTAGGGGAGCTTTCCCTTCCACTCCTAGGACTCCGTTCCTCGACCTCCCCTCTTCATCCTCAGCCTGGATGGAGCCCAGGTACAAGGAGGCGGCCAACCACTGTGCCTTGCTGCAGGAGCACGCACAGCGATGCTACGTCCGTGGTGAGCAGAAGGGCCGTGCGAGGGAGGAGCGGGACTCTGGGGGCACAGATTCAGGTATCACGGGGCGGGGTCTGGAGAGGCTGTTCCTGAGCCAACCCTCATGGCCCTGCTTACTTCCACCAGGGCTGTTCCGGACCTTGCAGCAAGCGCAGAGTGTGCCCTCCCAGGACTTGCTGACAGCAGTGGATGCTTGTGAGGAACTCCTACAAGAAGTAGACATCACCCCATTTCTGCTTGCACTGTGTGGCCACACTTGGAGTTTGCCTCATGCACCTCCAAGTCCTGGTCCCCTCAGCCCTGGGCCTTTCAGCAGCAGCATCGAGGAGGGCCCCGAGCCTCGGGAACGTGCTGTCCTAGCTTCTGAGTCCAGGTTAGGATTGTACTTAAAAGGTCTAAGGGGGCACGCAGATTGGGTCCCTGCGCACAGGTCCAAGGCAGTGGTTGTGTAAGGTGGGACCTGAGTACCTAGCTGAGTGCGCTTTGTCTCAAGTTGCCTGCCTCCCACACAGGCTTTGCTTTCCCATTTGGCAGTCTGCCCTCCCCCACCCAGGCTCTCTCCCACAGCCCCCCCCCCAGGCTCTCTCCCCCCCCCCCCCCCCGCTTCTGTGTGGAGTCACCAGATGAGCTGGGTCAGGGAGCGGGAGTGCCCAGTTGCCAATACTGAAAGTAGAGACATGTTCTAATGACATTCATGCAACAGTAGTAATCTCCCAGTTAATCTGTGAGGTTCATAGGGGTCAGACTCTCTTCTCCATTGACCCTCCACCCAGTTATCTAAGTTATAAAACCGAGAGCCAACCTTACTGTGTGGCACAGAAGTTCTCAGCTGTTAAGAAATATGAACATGGGGCGCCAGCAGGAGGCATGGTGGTTAAGGCCCTGGACTCCCACATGGCCAGCCACAGTTTGAGTCCCAGACCTGGCAGCTTGCTCGCTCTCTCTTTCATAGCGTATGAACTCTAGCAAATTGAAAAAAAAATAATAATAATAAATAAGATTAAATAATTCTTTTTAAAAAGAGAGGGAAAAAGAAATAAATATGGGGGCTAGAGCCAAAGCAGGTATGTTGGTTCTCCTCACCTCTTTTGCTACCCTTGCCAAGGTGCTAAGCACCTTCCTAGACAAAGAAGCAGGTATGTGCTGCCCCCAGCTGGGAAGCAGGCTCCCTTAGGACACAGTGGTTCTTAACACTTCCACACCCCCACCCCACCTGACCAATCAGCATAGAGACCGAGGACCTCAGCGAGCCCGAGTTCCAGAGCACCCGGGTCCCTGGCAGTGCAGACCCTGGCCTGGAGATCTCTCTGACAGACGTCTGCCAGCTCAGAGGAGAGGCACATGATGCCCTTCAGACCCTCATCCAGGTGAGAAGCTTGGCAGAGGGAGAGTCCCGCCTGTGCAGGGGACAGTCCTCTCTCCTGGGCTGGAGGTGTGTACGTGTCCTGTTCTGGGGTAAGGGGCAGTGCTGTCTGGAAGGGTGCCGACATGATACCTCCTTTTAAACTCCACTACAGGAGAAGTTCCTGGAGATCAGTCGTCTCCACTTCCGCACAGTACCCTCCAACCCCCACTACTTTTTTTATTGTCCTCCATCCAGCAGGCGAGAAGTGAGTGGCTTTCTTCCTTACTCCCTTATGCTCCCAACCTGTTGCCCCAGAGTCCCCACTCATCCCACCGGGATCCTCTTGAATATCTGTTCCCTAAAGCCTAGATGTGGCCTTTGTCCTGCCTTGGATCGAGCTGTGTCTTTCTTTTGCCCAGGATGAGGGTCTGCGGGACACAGTAGACAGAAAAGTCAGTGACCTGGAGTTCTCAGAGGCTGAGTTCATGGGAGAAGAAGGTGTGTAGACAAGCAGGTCAAGGTGTGGAAGGCTACTTCAAGCCAGGATTCAGGGACCTCCACTGCCAACTTCTCCCATTGACCATGTGACGTGCACCTCTAGGAGACACATCCGCCTGCTGTGTGGTCACTGAGAGTGACCCAGAACTGGAGGTGGAATACCGTGAGAGCCGTGAGCCAGACCTGGGGCCAGCTGGACTCGACTCTGCGTCGCTGTCAGATGCAGACACTGTGAACCCTGATGAAGACTCCTTCAGTATCTTGGGAGGCGACTCGCCCACTGGGCCCGAGATGCATGACCTGCCACCACTCTTCCTGCACCTCACATGCTCTGTGCGACTGCGAGGGCAGCATAACTCAGTACCTGTGTGCAGCCTGCCCACCTGCCTAGGTGAGTTTCGGGGAGCCCAAGGGAAAGCCTAAGGTCCCCGTACAGCCTGCTTGCCTATTTGGAGGTAGAAGAGAGCCTCAGGGTATAACTCTTTAGCACTTAGAGCTTGGAATCTGTGCTTGTTTCAGGACCCCCAGCAACCCCTAACTCTTCCCCTCTCCCAGGCCAGGTGCTTTCCAGTCTGGAGGGTTCCCCTGTTGGAGGCCGAGTTCTCCTGAGGGACCTCAGTGTCACCCTGGACGTCTTTGTACTGACCTTGCCCCTGGAAGTGGAGCTCCCCCCTGCCTCGGACCCTCAGCACCACCGGTGTGGCAGCAAGTTTGGTGGGGGGACCTGGGGCCTTCCTGGGGTATGGGGCCTGCTAAAGGAATTTAGAGAACTTGGGGACTAAGGAGACCTTGAGGCCAAAAAAGGAGTGACGAGAAGACTCGGAGAAGATAGTAGCTCCTGCCCTTTGACTTTTTCTCTCACCCTGTTAAGGTCAACATCCGAGAGCAGTGCTTCATTCCCGCGATCCCCAGGGCAGCCGTCATCTTTACGGTCAGACGATGGCCTAGGACCCCCACTGCCACCCCCAGAAGAAGAGAGGTACTTCTTTGCCTCCTTCTCAGGGTTCTTACTTCTCTTAGTTTCTTTTTTTTTTCCTTTTTTTTTTTTGGAAAACCCAGTGTCTAAACCTTTCTTCCATTTAGGCACCCAGGACTATCCAATTTGGCCATGCCCCACAGACTGGCTATCGAGACCACCATGAGTGAGGTGAGGGCCTTCCCTCTCCCAACCTAGGTGATAACTTCCAACACAGGCCAACGCCTCTATCCTGGGCCTGAAGCGAGGCCTCCCTCGGTCTGTGAAGCAGAGGATCTTCTAGCATCCGTCAGTCTGGAATTGCGCAACGTAATGCCCCAGTAAGCAAGGGAGGCGCTCTTTGCCACTTCCTGGATTGCTCTGATTGTAGATCCGCTGGTTGTTGGAAGATGAGATGGTGGGCGCACTCCGAAGAGGGGGCATCCCCCAGAGCCCTGCCCTGCACCGTGCAGCCGCCCACATCCATAGCTCTCCTGGACGCTCCACCTGCCTTCGACAGACTCTGCCGCTGAGCTTCGTGTTTGGGCCAGAGCGTTCCCTCACACAGTTCAAAGAGGTACGTTGTCCTCAGAATGCCACATGGTCACCTGGGGCCCACCTTCTCTGGATCCCAGGCACAGGACTAGAAGGCCTTCTTAGTTTGAGTCCCTAGAACTACATCTCCTGCCATATCATCTGTCCCTTACTCCTGTGCCTGGAAGCCTAGCTAAGTGGAAAGAAATCCTGCCTCCAGGCTTGTCCCTGGACCTGCTG